TCTATTTCTGTCTATGCCATCATTATGGAGCCAGAGTAGTCTTCATACCTCCGTGATCGGGCTGTGAACAGAGCTCGTGGTCAGCCTGATTGCAATTTTGACACTCACTTCAAGACCCCCTCATTCTGACGCCCAAGTCACATTTGAGCTGTACATTTTATGCTATCCTCATACTCGCAGCCCCAAGGCTCAATACACGTCTCTTTTGTCCTTCCCAGCTTGGCTTGGCACCAGTCAACTCACAAAAAACCCTCCAGAACACTTCGCACCAAAGTTCTCTATCTATCTTTCTCTTTCTCGTTCTCTAACCACGATTAACAATGGAGAAGAGTTCGAGGCCCAATGAGTGTCTCAGACCATCTCAATAGCAGGACATTGCGGCACATGCAGCCTAAGAGGGTAACTTTCGACACTCTCAAATCACATATTGGCACCACAGCATATCAGTTCTCGTCCTATCCAGTTTCATTTGTCCTTTTTTCGCTTTATAACTAAGCTTGCGTTCTATGCTAAGATGAATTCTTGACTGGTTTCGGATTCCAGAGGAATAAAAAAATGAAACAAAGCAAATAAGTTCAGTAGAAAATTAGAATGCAAAACAGTCATTTGCATCGATTTTATTTGTATTTTGTCGTCTGATCTTTAATCCTTTCCTTTTTACGTGTGGAATTCGAAAACCCTCAGACTCCACAGTACGTGGGTGTGCGGAATCACGAGCCTTGGTATATTGGATATCTCATTTTATAAAGAACCAGAGATAAAGTAAACCTCGAGACATCCCTGCAAATATCTTCTTTATCAAGCAAACATGCCCGCTGCTTACAGTTCATTCACTTCCATCTTCCTCAAGTACCCATGAGAGTTTAATGTAAACACATGTCCAACTTTTCGTCACTGTCGATGCTCCTCACGTGGTACATTCATTCAAGAGGCATTCGAAGAATCTATTAGTGTTTAGTGGTTGAATCCAAAGTACATGAAGGGAAAAGCTGGAGGTCTGCTATAAAGAAGCGAAATATCAGATGAAGTTGACTTGATGAGTAGAGAAGCAGCTACAGGCTGTGAGCGATCTTCGACGTTTCGCTTGAGGGACCAAATGCATTTTGATTTTACATGAATATACGTGAAAACCGAAGGTATGAAGACCAAGATGGTGTGGCCTTTTGTGTGGTCACAGTCTCCTTTCGTTGTATAGAGGTTG